TCAGAAAAAAGTTCCAAGTTGCTCAACTAGTCATCCCGTGAGTGTCGCATCATCCTCAACGAGGTTTATCGGAGTTTTGAAGACCTCACTTAAGAATATCTGACGAAATTACATGGATGACGACGCCTTGATTATCCGTTCCTTATGTTCGTAGTTGCAGGAGGGTGGACACTCAATGTTGTTTGCATGGAAGACACTCTTGCTGGACTCCTGTAGCTTGGTTAGGTTACAGTCAGCCTGAACTGTGGCACTGTGAGTGCCTCAGACAACTAAACCGCGCATTCAGTATTGGTAGGCGATTGAGGAAACATATGTTGCAATCGCAACAACTCAAATACAGGAGTAGAGCGAGACACCTAAATGATTACCAACTTATCACCATGACTCACTGATAGACAGTCTTTCTAGCTTACTAGGTACTATGATTTTCCAAACGGCAAATTTATGTTTTTAATAGCACTACGAATTAGTGACAGCCCAGCCAAACAGTGAACCTCCCAAAAGACATGAAAATGATCATTTCTAATGATATTAGCTATGATCAAAGTATCACATGAAATCCGTGGAAATGCACTAAGCCATCTAGCTTGGCTTTCCATTGTGCGTAAGTTAAGACATCTAGCATATTTTAGAAAAAAAATTAATGTTGCGTGACCCCATGTATCACCTTCCTGTGTTGCGTTTGGTTTTCGACACATTACTACCAGTGGATGGGCTTGCGTCAACTGGTTAGCGAAGTGTTTTGACCCTCAAATCAATTGCATTTTAGGACAAAAATCGTTCTATCAAAAGCTTTTTATTTAAAATACTTTATATAAAATTTGAAACTGGGACTTTTACAGCCTTCAGAAGCGGAGGAGGCAGTTAGGTATGTGGGAGAATAATTCCAGAAAAAGATATCAATTACTAGCGTTAAGCATATGAACTATGAATCCATCGAGTGCAGGTTGTTATGTCTTGTTATTGGGGTTGAGTACGACCCACGATGTTTCGGATTTAGAAACGAAAACGATTGAGCTTCATTGGTACGATAGATTCTCTTCGGAACTAACAGTAGTCAATTATGTTCAGCACATCAAACCTCGACGGCTAAGACAGGAAAATGACGGGATCACAGGTAACTTGACATTTGTCGAAGAACAAGTAACTTAAACGAAATTGGTCGAAAACGTTTTGCTGCGGTAGCAGAGTGCGACCTTATAATCATGTAGCAACTTAGTGAACATAAAAACGTGGCAACAAATTAGAGAACAAAGGTTATGCAAAAAATCAAATTGATAAAAAATGAGTGTAAAATGTGATCAATAGAAGAACCCACCAATAATAAAGGGAAACGCCCACCACCACATTAACTCCCTCTGACCTTGTACGACTGTATCTCTTTATTAACCAATCACAGTTTCGTGTTCATTGTAAGACAATATTTGCTTGTTGACTCATTTTTCTTATTCTCTGGCTACTGTTCGGTATGTTATTTGTCTCTCTTTTTGCCTGTATTAGTAGACCGTAATGTTTGTTTGTACACTAACGACGTTAATTTATGTTTTAGAAACACACAAAGTTTATCTAGCCAAATAGCTTGCTTGTTCTGACTTTGGCCAAACCAAGACTCTGTATTCGACGGTCTAGGGAATAGCTCAGAATTAAACCTGTAGGAAATTGCTTCCCACAATGAGGGTGGCTATATTTCCAGAAAAGATCCTAGCCTTTCTGATAAAATTTGACTCTCCTTGAGAGCGCCTTAGCAGATAAATAGCAAGCTATTTCTGAGTTTGTTGAGCTCGGTTTGACGCGCTTAAAAACTAAAGTAACAGTGAGATAATGACTAACTCCATTGATACAGTCCTTCAGGCTGACTGTCCCCTGCTTCAAAAGACTCACCACTGCATGTCGAATGTTTGTCGCAAAACGGTGAAAATCAGCTGCGGTCGATGCAGGAAAATTATCGGGGCGGCATGACTTAGATATTAGGCTTAATTTTCATATGTACCACATCCCTTTCTATACTATATATATTATTCTGTCAGCAAGATATAACTGCCCCTCAGTTGTCCTTAAGTGGAAGAAACTCCTAATATCCACATTCAGGGTGCTCATTCATATGAGATCTATGTGTAATCTTATGGGTTAAACAATCACACGATGTTTAGTCAAATATAGTGTAGCGAGAATATTTGTCTGGTGACACATAAGTTCATTTGCAAATATTATAATCACCGCTACCAACAGGTTGTCCAAGCATTCATTCACTTCCTTATTTTGTATAGGCACTATATTGCCTATTATCTTATATTGAATGTTGAGAGTCTTTGTTTGTCTGAACAAACAATCCCACACTCCACTGTGACTGCGCGAGGATCTAAATAAGGACCTGTTCGCCACTTGTCTGGTTTCTTCTATCAATAGCAAGAGGGTTACCTAGAGGCACGAAATGTCTACCGGGTGTCAACTACGATCGTGTGCTTGTGTCCAAAGTCACAACTTCCTGATTCTTAAGGTGCCTTCGACATTGAAGTCGATTTCATCAGATTTACTGGCCGCATTCTGGTTGCAGGCGAGCATCCGTGCCAAGTTGCTATGGGTTATGCCGTCCCACAAATATCTCTCTACAACTAGCCAGATCAAATCATTTCTTGACATGTCGACGACCTTCCAAATATATTTTCTAATTCCTTCGTTCCTGATTTCTGGCATGACTGGGCATCGGATCCTCGATTATAAAGGTTTTGTGGACATCAGTGTTGCTAAGTCCTAAGTAGCTGAAACACCTTTATGGTCATTGTAAAAAGTACTATATTTCTAACGTAGTAAAGCATCAATGATTAAAAATAACGTTATTCAAGTACATGAAAAACGTGTTCATTATCTGGTCAGTTTTCGACAACCACACTATTCTGCTAAAAACGCATCCACCCATACAGAATACATACCGATCTCAAGATAACTCGAACTCACTAGGACTGATGAATTTAAGTGGATGTATTACCCATATTAAATAATAATGAAAATGTGAAACCAAACGAAAACATCCGAAAACAGGCTCAAAGAAACTGCCACGAGTGTTTCAAAAAAGGCGGTGATTTAGTATTTGTTGCGACTAACTTTGCTTCCGTATCCTTGATGTGTCAAAAGGCATTCTCGGCTTACTCGAAATTAAAGTATTTCGGTTAAGGTTTCAAATTTTGCTTAACTTGGTCTTGTGGGGCTTTATTGTTCGTTCTGACACTTCTGTTCATATAATGATCACATTGTATTTTAAGCTTTCCTTATCTGACTACAATGTTCGGCAGTATTTATAAGTGTGGACAGCCGAATGGTTTATTCCCCGCGGAGGAAGGAATGCAATGAGTGTGAAAAGTGGTTCCATAAAATGTGAAAAGTATAAAGTTATAAGCGGCACACACATGGTTTACGATACATTGGTGAACTCCCGTTCTGAGTCACAAATTACAACGTGATCTTTTGTTAAGTAGCGACCATGGTCACGACAGTACCGACATCCGAGTAAGACCTGATATATACTTTGAAAGTAGAATAAAAAGGAGAACAACTAGAAACCCGTCGACACAATGGTGAGGAAAATCCCCGCTTAGTTGTTATTCGAGTAGTCAGGTCCTGGGAGCAAATGCCACCGAGTTCTGTGTGCATAGGTCGTTCTCCCCAGGAGTTTTATATGCGAATGCTCGTAGTCTAAGAAATAAATTCTATGAACTAGGGGCGTTAGTGGACAAATTGAGGCCACTCATTTTAGCTGTGGCTGGAACTTGGTTGGTCCACGACTTCGACATTATTCCAGAATTATCCGAGTACCAATATCTAAGAATTGATAGACACAGATTTCGAACAGGAGGTGGCGTCCTTCTATACATAATCAATAATATAAATCCCCGCTCCCCTGTCTGTGCATCACGTGATAGCGGAACTTATGAAGTCATTAACTGTGAGCTTTTCGTGCCCGACTATCGGATGATGTTCATTCATACTCGGGGTCATTTATCGTAGTCCAATCTACTTAGATCGTGACTATTATGGAAAACACACTCAGCTATGGATTGAATATAACAGATGCTTGATATAAGGAAACTTCAATGAACCCGATATTAATGGATTAAAATGGCCTCGGTAGGATCTATAAACTTATTTGATAGCGGGGTCCCTGATAACGGTAGTTGAGCATGGATTAGTACGGCATGTATCGAAAACAACATCTTTGGTTCAAAGCAAGGTTGTTCTTCGTTAGGCTTGGTAACCACTCATGTGACTGACGATATTACCAACCTAAACATTCTTCCATTATTAGCGAATAGAGATCACACTGTTTCGTCATCCATCTTTAGAGCCAGTGATGTGATATAGGATCAGGTTAAGCCTCACTCAAATGTATGGACGGCTAACACATCAACCATTTAGGAGTGCGCTGCAAAGATACATTGGTCGTTTCGTAACTTAGTGTAAGTCAAAAAACGCTGGAAAATCTGATTTTCCTACTCACTGCCAAAGGCTTTAGAGTATTATGGGCTATTAGTAGGTCTTTTCTGTACTTGGACGAAAAAATATATAGAGTATTATAATCGACTTTCGTGAGACGGCAATTGAAATATAGGATTCAAGAAGCGAGTCCTTATCTCAAGTATCGAATGGATATTCTGAAAACAGTCCAACGACGAGGTAAAAGGTCTCTCTGGCAGACAGCCTGAGAAATCTCAACTTATCTTACCGTAGATTAGGGAGTGTTTCAATATTTGTTGGTCGCATACTGAACGATGGCCTTGGAATCAATATGTTCTATCTTTTCCTTCCGTCTAGGACTGATAATTTGAGAATACGTTACAAAGAAGTTCAAAAACCAAGATCAAATAGTTAGCATCTACAGTTCCGCTTCTCTCATGTAGTAGTGAATTGAAGGAATTTTTTACCAAAACACGTAACATCAGCACCATTGGTTCATATTTTCAAAACGAGATTGTACATCTAGTGTTAAAAACTGCAAGGATTAATACAGGTTGATAAACTTCCTATTCTTATTAGAGAAAACATATAGGTTAACACTAGCTCATCACAAATATATTGAATTTTAGATAGAGTAGACGTTCGAAACGTACGTTACTAATGAGTGCAGTTTCTGTTTTCTCCACAATCCATCAACTGTATCTATTAGAAAAATCTATAAAAGCATAATGTAAGAAGGGCTCATTTAAAACTATAGTTCCAATAGTAAAAGTAATGCGGGCAAAATCAACGCTGCAAATACAATGCATAAATATATTTTTATTTTGGGGAAATACTAGGGAATTTCCCCAGGTCTGGGGGAATTTTGGGGTTTTGATGCCATTTTCCCCAAAGTTCACTATAGTGGCTTCCCCCAAATTGGGAGCTCGGGATGGTATCATATTATATATATATATATATATATATATATATGTTTTTTTAATCAGACTAAAACCTACTCGTTTGTAATAATTATCTCACGAACAGACAATATTTACATCTAGTACGTAGTCAGACACTTGAACTTGGTGTTCTTAAAATTATATTGTATGTGAAGTTTTTGGGTGAAGACTCGAGGTCCTTGTTTCTGAAGTAAAATGTTCCCAAGTGAATGAGACCTCTTGACTCTGAATGTTCATCTTTTCTCATGTTCGTCGAAATTATATTTATCGTGAACACCAGTATTACATTTAGGTGCGTGTGGGTGAAGTCATATATTGTGCTTTTATTTTGAACACAGCTAATATTCTGCGCTTAAGGTTTTTATTCGTTTCATTAATCGAAATTACTGAACACCATTTTATTTATCGTTGTGTCCAATATCCATGTTACTTTGTTCAATGAACATTTCGTTCACTTATGTTCATAATGTTACGGAAAAACAATAACGACCTGGGTTATGAGTCAATATAATCGGAACTAAGTGAACCGTATTAGTTTTAGTTTTATTCAATTTGCTATCATGTCACTATCGTTGCTACTATGATTATTTCGATTCCTGTTTGCCATCACATTATTCTCAACCCACTATGTCTATATAATATGGCAACTTGGGTTAACATGTATGTGCATGGATCTACGTTTCGACTGACTAACCTCAGTGACCTGGACATATAACCATGATTTTTATTTATTTATTTTAACACATAGATATTGGTACAAGAAGACACCAAATACATATGCGCCACACAAATCTCATTTTATTTGTGTGAGGGCTGTGATACTGCCCGGGTGCCCAAACCGAAGCAGGTGGTTTTCTCGGGGGGCCACACCAAGAGCCAGTCAGGAGATGTAGTCCCATGGTAGCCGGTGACCAACGATTGGTTCATACGCCATTTGTTCCTTCGGGATACTGGAGCGCATGTGCACCATTGGCTTGGAACCAGGGTTTTTCAACTCCCCTAGGTGGACTCCCCATGTCCACCAACCCGGTTAAAGCGCCGGACATTTGCTTTTGGTCCTCTCAATTTCGTAAACAACACCCCCGCCACGAGAAGGCAGTGAGTAAGACTTCCGTAGTATAGGCTATATACGCGTGGTCAAGTGAGAGCATTTCGAGAGGGAGAGTGGACTCTCCCCACTCTCGGCTGTACCAGGGCATTTGGGGTCATAACCAGGATTATAATAAATCGAAACACTTTGCATTAAAATTCTTGGTTTGGTGTTATGTCGGGATCTAAACGTTATTAATTTCCACCTTTAATGCTCTCAAAGACAATACATTAAAGTTACTGGTAGATTAGTATTTTCGACACATCCCAACTATGTCAATGAATGAGGGTTCATGGTTTCTTGCGTCGACATACGCCAGTTTACAAAATTCAAACTGACCTAGTGAATCACTCACACCATTCATATAGTTAGTGATCAACAATTTGAATGTATGAATTAAAATAGGAGATTTTAAGATGTCATTTCAATGTTTGATCATTTATAGTTTGTTGAAGAACTCGAGGTGGATAAACAAAATTTAAACCATTCTTCCATGAAGTCATCGATTGTTTATTTAAAGTGTTTTCATTCTTTTTTAGTTGGAGAATGTAATGCAAAAATTTATGGTTTGGATAATAATTTGTGGTGTTGGCACATTTGTGTACACTTTCCGGTCTAAATTTCGGATGTCTATTTTGTGTGTTTATTTACCATTCCGTTTTCCAGTAATTCCTAATATCATGTTCCTCATGGCATTTTTCTCCTGCTTATTTGTTCCTAAAACACTTTCTGGTTCAGTTTTTTGTGTGTGGTTAATGGCACTGAATAAAGTACATCATAATTCTGACTTTTTTTCAGTCACATCTAAAAACCTCTATTGATGCAGAGACGTCCACTCACTCGCATAGAACTTGGATTGCAAGACTTGATGGAATTTAAAAACTTCATTGATACTCAGTCTAATGGAGACTGTGAAAAAGGTAGCAAAAGTACCAAGGATTCTTTTGAAAAGGTACAACTTCGAGAAGCTGAAAGACGCAGAAAAAATGCGCGCCATCGGATTGGTGAGTAGTAATCTTGATTATTGCTGATTACCAATTTCAGGTCTACCTCCAGATTATTAAGAGACTTTAAGACTTAGTGCATATATGCTTCTGTGAATCACTATAATCAATGTTCAATTTCAACCTTTTTTCGCTGGAACTACATGTTTATCGTTTGAAACTTCACGAATAATCGGTAATTTAAATAAAATCGCCTGCTAACAGTCTGCGAAGTGGTTTGCAACGTTTAGTCGAATTTTTCGGAATACAATTTGACAGACTACCTCAGAAATTTCAACCAAATTGTCATATTTTCTACAATAAATCTCAAGTTCTAAAGTGTCGCAAAAATAATCCACAGCACAACGCACCTCTGGTTCATTTCTAGAATGGGGACTATATCCTAGGTTTAGAATGAATTGAATTATCTAGGATGTCATATCATACTGAAAGTCTTCTTTCACTAAAGAAGGGATTTATTGTTGCGCCTATTTTGGGAAAGGGCGTAGATAATGTACACGAAAATGGTTTCGCCTCAGGTTGGTTTTAAGGTGCTTGTAAAATATTGACTGGATCAGACTACACAAATTATCTAGACCAAATACAACAAGCAGGTTTGATTTTGTTCAGGCCATCACATCTCACTCTTTCTCAAAACGATTAGGTATCGTCACACGTATCGCATTCCTTATATCAGAATTGCAGTCAATTTATTGAACAGAACTGTACTTTACATTTATACATTAGAGAGGAATGTAATCGAGGCGGTCATCTTAGATTTTTTCACAGCTATCCTATTAGAGTGATAACGTACAATTATCTTTAAATTCTAGTCCATAATATGAGTGCGTTTGAATGAGGCTAACCAATCTTGCTAATTTTTCTGTAGCCTTATAAATGATGATATTTCCCAAACAGCTTTGAATAGAGTACGTGATTGAAAAACATATTTACTTCTCGGAATGTAAATTAGTCGATCGATGATCAGCGTTTCTGATTAATGACGAGTACTCTTGACCCTCAAAGCGCAAAATATATCACAAGAGGGATTTAGGGTTTGTGTATTTAGTGAGATTTGTGTCGTTGTTGAGCAGCAGCGATATACTTTCACTAATTTTGGTTCGAGGTGAATAGTGCTGTTACGTCGAAGGATATCATCAGTTCATCGTTGTTGAATTGAATGTTCTTAATTCGGTCCAGGAATTGTGTGGGGGATTTGATGGAGTGGTTGGCTGAATCTACTAAATATCTCAATAAACTGCCTACTTAGGGTTTGTCCATAAACTCATATTCGCTGGTGAACTGCTAGAAATGTTCAGGATACTCATGTGCCGGAATACTGATGTTTTCAGAGACAAAAATCTCATATAGCTAGAGACCCATATTTGGCGCTGTCACGACATTATATTAGTTGTTTAAGCGTTAGTGTAGTAGCAGTTATCCTCTACTCTTGTCGAGCCTGGCGTCTTTAATCTTAAAACTTTAAACGACTCTGTATTAGGTCATTGTTTTCGGCGACTCAATGTTGTGACTAATGTCAATATGCATCGATATGTGGCTAATCATATTGGTAATCACTGTCCATTCATTGATAGCATCCCTGGTAACCAACTTCAGATAGTTTCCGAAACCAACTGGTTCTTCTCAGATTTCTGTTGAAGTTTGGTGAAACATAATACCCGTACTTATACAGTACATAAGATAATTTGCTAAGGGATTTTAGAATTAAAATGTCCTTTATTTCTAAATGAATGCTTAACCGGGCCTGTATAAATAGCAAAAAAGGTAACTGGTAGACTAATGGGTATTATTAAATGAATTTACGGCTAAGAAACAACTAAAATATGATGAATTTTTGGTTATGCATGAGGTTCGAGTTTTGGCTTATCCATGATTTGAATTACGAAGAAATTCAACAGACGGTAATAACAGTTGTTAAGGCAAATACCATAGTTAGAAAGACGATCGTAAAGATCATGGAGCTCAGTGACTTAAGCCATGATCATATATGACTTAAAATAGAAGTCTGTGGGAATCCTGTTGTAATTTGCTGATACTGCCTTCATAATAGTGCGTTAAACTTTTTAAACTGAGTAAAACCTTTCTTGGCTGTATTTTTAGTTAAGCTATATCTTAAATGCTATTTCTGTTCATTTAATCATTGGTCCTGCCATTCTTTTCCCTTTAACTTCTTGATATCGTTTTCTTTATCTGGGTCAGTTTTCGGTGCTTAATTGCGCCAGAATTTGTGTAAACTAAACAAAAGATTGATATCGCTTTTAACAATGTTCATACATACATGTTAAGATAAAACTTAAGCTTATTCAGCTTAAACAATCGACAACCTGATAGCCTATCCAATATTAGCTGTTCTCAATAAATTAGTACATAAACCTATATAAAATTACAAATTACACTTACAGATGCGACTAAATGAATTGAATAAATGGAAATAACTAATTCACCAGTAAGCGGTAGTGCGATGATGCACTATTCAGTACAAACTACTCGATTGGTAGAACAAAAGGATGGTACTTTTTCGAATATCATTGACCATCTGAAAAATTAGTGGGTTTATGCCCTCAATGTTTATCAGAAATTTACAATTTTATTTATAAGTGCACCACCTATATAATTTTATTCATTTCATATTTCCACCTGACCTAAACTGATCGTAAATTAGGCGAAATTCAGTAGCGTACTTGTTTTCATCATCAAAATTGTAAGTAGGTTTAATACCACACAACTTCTCATTAAGACGAAAGAAGGCATTACTTGTTTTAAAATGAATTTTCAAGTGTTGTTGATAAGATATTTGGATCGTGCCAAGTGCGTTTCATCCTATCTAGGGCTCCTTAGCCGAACATTCAGACTAAAATGCGAAACCGGTCGCTTTAGGCACCAAGGAGTTGTCTATTAAGCTACAAAGTGCAGATAGCCATTAAATTGTTTAGTGGGAATAAAGGTAGTTTTAAAAATTCATATTCATCCGTTGTCAGTATTCAAAATCAGATTAAAGTCAGTATCATGTGCTTCGATAATGCCTACGATACACCCGTTAATCTTTATGATTAACATAGGATCATGAAAAAGAAACCACATTGTTACTCTCATTTTGATTTTTATTATTACGGTATACACTGTGTTAATACGTGTATATTTGTTTCTTTTCTGCTATTTTCATCAAAATTATGAATATATTCACTTTGTTGACCGAGTAACTACACCGTCACTCCTTGAACTCGATTAGATTCATTTTGCTCTACTGGAATATTACCCAATGGAGCAACAATATAACCTTCCCATTCATCAGGTACTTGTTCCATAATATCAGTAGCTAGATTACAATTATATGCAATGTGATTATCACCATCGTCATCATCTAAAAAACAATTGGAACCAACATTAATTTCATCACATAAACTAATCATCGGTTCTGTATTATCTAGACTCCAACATTGATTATTAGTTGTTCCATGAAAAGCTTCTTTCGTTAGCAATGAATCAGCATAGCGTATAGCTTCCTCAAGAGTTCTCAAATTTTCCTTAATGAACAAAAGAGGAAACAGATTTCATAAAAGAACAAAACTTTCAAGTGTTGTTAAACTGAAATAGCCAAAAAAATTATGATGGGTCCAATCGAAGTTATATGAACGACAAATCGAATATGGTGTCTGTAAAGGTTAAAAACGCAAAGTTCAGCGACGGAATCTCTTTGCAATATATATATATATATATATATATATATATATATATATATATATATATATATACGACTGTACAGCTTGATAATAAATCCATTCTAAAGAGATTCCTTCGCTGAACTTTGTGTTTTTAATGTTTAAATGGGAACCATATGTCAATTAAAGAGGTTAGAGGTGTAAGCAAGCGAAATCTACTTTATTTTTATGTTTTTACATGAAACGAATTATATAAATTAGAGATAATCTCGACGTTATAACTTGAAAAAAGTCGAATAAATATGACTCAGAATTACCAAGCAATAGATTAAATGATGATATGTTATTTGTCTCAAGACTTGAAGTTCATAGACTTGAGTCTATGTAGGGTTGTGATATGCACACTATCCCTGTAAAAAGTTTCAAACAAGTTTGCAACAACTATCCAATATATTGCGATGTATCCCGTTGTGTCTTAAACCCGGCTAATAATCATGTGACTTATTCGCCAATCGGAGTACGACTCATACAATCTTAGTACTGTGCTAAGCCAATGACGTTCGAGCGGTATAGGCAGCCTAGCAATCTTATTGGTTCTTTGTTCTCATATCATGTCCATTTGAGTCCATAACGCCAATAATAGCTTCCACTATAGGAATAAATTATTTCAAACATACTTAGTTTATATACCAGCCAAATAGACCGCATCACACCAATAAAATAGGAAATAACATTTATACAAGATCAAGCCAAATTGTGGCTGTGGGCGTAAGAGACCGTAATCAATAGACTGAACACAACTTAAGAACAGTAAATCGTATAGTAATAGCCAATAGGTTAAAATGAAACCTATAATAAGAGGAATATAGATATACACAATCTAGTTACTGGATAGTTATACAATAAGAATATATATAGAGAGAGGGTTAGTCCATTAATAGATCTTAGAAGTGGTTAATTATTGATTGTAGATAGGCACCCCATAAATCACATACATAATAATCATATATTGTAAACGACTCCACTTTCTCCCACTCTACATTTGTGTTTATATACGCTATCATTGTTGATTTATGTTCCCCGATCAAATAGTCAGAGTTCACTTGATTTAGTGAATCCAACGTTATGACACACTTCTCCAGCTGAAGTTAGCATGTGACGAAACGCAATTTGATTTCAAGTAATTACAGTTGGCATATTAGAAGAATACAGTGCTTCAAGAACTGTCCAAAAGACTGATACTTTCAGATGATATAAACTCAGTTACATAAAACCATACCAAAAAAACTCACTTCTTTGAAATTTATTAGCGATATCTGTTCAAGTAGTTTAACTACATTCATATCCAATTGGGTTCGTTTTGGAAGAGTACTGTGATCAATATAAAATATATCCTGTTTATCAGGTGATACACAATCCTTTGTTCCAGATATCTAATAGAATAAATTTCAAAAATTATTTGACTATCCAGTTAACCGATTGCAAATCAACGAATTCTAATTTATTGGTAAAGTATATTTATCATATCACGATGTTTGTCTACTTTTCGGAAAGTGAAATACGACTGAAATCGACATGCGGCATGGCAACTTATATATATGTTTGATATAATCTCAGTCGTTGAAATCCAAATAATTCCAAAGTTTCGTCCATCGAACTCATCTAGACTTCTTCAGGGTAATGATCAAAATTATCAAGGAATGTATAATGTTTATCAATCAAATCTGTACTTGTTGTTTATCAAATCACATTCAGATGTTGACTTCAGATAACATGTGAAAAGTCCACAATGTGAAAATAAATGAATAAGCGAATATGTGTATGCATACGTAAGTTTATAATCTGAATAGTTGATATTCAGTATTAATTTCTTGATTGAAAGTAGAAATAAAAGTGCAAATCGAAAATATTTTTGAAACGTCGATGTGTATATAAAATCAGAATCGTCAAATACATAATTTTAGTACTGAAATATTCAAATTATTTGTCAGAAAACTAGTACGTGTGAAATAAGTTGAATAGCGATACGGTTTAATTACTCATTGACTATCATTTACGATTGGGAGAAGGAACAAGGGCCAATGGACTGGAAAGGACACTTCGTCAAGATTGCAAAGAAAGGAGATCTGAGCAAATGTGAAAACTACAGAGGCATTACACTACTGTCAATACCAGGGAAAGTCTTCAACAGAGTGTTGCTGAACCGGATGAAGGGTGCAGTAGACGCCCAACTTCGAGATCAACAAGCTGGATTCCGTAAGGATCGGTCGTGCACAGACCAAATTGCAACACTACGGATCATCGTCGAACAATCAGTTGAGTGGAACTCATCACTATACATCAACTTCATTGATTATGAAAAGGCATTCGACAGTGTAGATAGGAGGACATTATGGAAAGTTCTTCGACACTACGGAGTTCCTGAGAAGATTGTCAATATTATCCGGAACTCATACGACGGACTACAGTGCAAAGTAGTGCATGGAGGACAGCTGACAGATGCATTCCAAGTAAGGACCGGAGTCAGACAAGGCTGTTTACTCTCTCCCTTCCTCTTTCTTCTGGTGGTCGACTGGATTATGAAGACCTCGACATCTGAGGTAAAACACGGAATACAATGGACAGCTCAGAATCAATTAGACGATTTGGACTTTGCAGATGACCTGGCCCTCCTATCGCATACACATGAACAAATGCAGATAAAGACAGCCAGTGTAGCAGTAGTCTCTGCATCACACAAGGGGAAAACCAAGGTCCTCAAATTCAAAGCGCAAAACAGCAATCCAATCACTCTTGATGGCGAAACTCTGGGAGATGTAGAATCCTTCACATACCTAGGAAGCATCATCGATGAACAAGGAGGTTCAGATGCAGACGTAAAGGCGAGGATCGGCAAAGCAAGGGTCGCATTCCTACAATTGAAGAACATATGGAACTCAAAACAACTTTCAACCAATATCAAAGTGAGAATTTTCAATAGGAACGTCAAGGCAGTTCTACTGTATGGAGCTGAAACTTGGAGAACTACAACAACCACAATCAAGAAAGTACAAGCATTTATAAATAGCTGTCTACGCAAGATACTCAACATCCATTGGCCGGATACCATCAGCAATGGCCTTCTGTGGGAGAGAACAAACCAACTTCCAGCTGAAGAAGAAATTAGGAAAAGACGATGGAAATGGATAGGACATACATTACGCAAATCGTCAAACTGCATCACGAGGCAAGCCCTAACTTGGAATCCTGAAGGGAAGCGAAAAAGAGGAAGGCCAAAGAACACATTCCGTCGGATAATAGAAGCAGATATGAAAACGATGAATTACAACTGGACGGAGCTAGAAAGGATTGCCCAGGACAGGGTTGGATGGAGAATGCTGGTAAGCGGCCTATGCTCCTTCACGAGGAGTAACAGGCGTAAGTAAGTAAGTATCATTTACGAAGAGGTGGCTTGTTGAATACCATCCTTTTTGTTCATGCTATTCTGACTAGCCGATATATACAGCGCTTTTGCTGTCACATCTTACTGACTCATATCCTGCCTAATAAAGTCGATATGACTGGATAAGCATTGAGTATTGATTTGATTGTTAAGCACTAAATATTATTTGATAATTCTGATTATTGCCCTAAAGAAGTCCAGACAATTTTGCTGGACGAAACATTAGAATTATTTAAATTTTAAATATATATATAAATTTCATCTAACAGGTTGGACTGGTAGACTATCATTATGTCCAGTTCGATGTAATTCTATTGAGTAATTCAGTAGAAATGTGTGTGAGTACCACCAATTTAAATCTATTACAATTCACAAATTCTAAAGACAAACTAATGTTCAGTTAGAATTAGCTTAAGTATCCGGTAAATATTTTATGTTATTCGGGAATTGAAAGTTGAAAATCAATCCAAAAAATGAACTTCAAACCACTACAGTATTTCAGATAAATTCTAAACTATACAATTAAGTGAAAACAACAAAGATGTTAAGTCCCGATAAGCATAATGAATGGTAACTTTTGGGATCCATTTATGGACCAATACTATATGTATATTTTTATTTATTTATTTGGACACATAAATATTGTTACAGGGGGCACCAAATATGTATGTGTCACACATGATTTTTATGTAACTAAACTATTCACATTCATGTCCCTCTTATTATGAGCTTTATTTTGACCTACGAACTGTTATTATATGATTTACCATTCTTGAGTTATGCCCTGTCTATCAATTACTATCTCCTTTACTCACAGCCACATTTGGCCAAATCTTGTACAAATGTTGTTTCCTGCTTCATGGTACGATGTGGTCTGTCTGGTTGATATATAAACCCCGTATGTTTGAAATAAAATATTCATATTGCAGAGGCTGAGATTGCTGTTCTGAACTCAACTGGCTGGGCTAGGCGGAAAGTAGCACCAATAAGGAATTTAGATTGCTCGTACTTGTTTTACGCGTCATTGGTCGATCGATAATTCACTTCTCTCTAATTGGCGGTATTAACACGTTATACATTAACAGGGCAAACAGGTCACAAGTTATAACAAAAGCTTAGGGAACATATTATTAGGCGAACGTCAAAAACACCGATCAAATACAACTGCCTTCTTTTAGGAGTGGAATAATTACGATTGACCGGTCACTGTGTAGTGGATATTTTCAAGTTTATCTAGTCTTTTAGTGTCGACCGGACCCTATCGATGAAGTTGAAATATGGTCAATAGTTCAAGTGGCTCGACACTACGGACACTATATTCATATCTTGAGGCGATTCCTCTCGTAGGATTGGAACATGACCGATAGGATTTGATCACTAACAAACATGATGGTGGTCAATTAAAGGCAGTTTCATGTCTTCCAGGAGAAATAATTATTACAATCATACTTATAATACAAACTTCCGTGCCACATCAAGAAAATCATGTACCCAGACTTTCATCTTGTCCTTAAATTTTCAATTTGTGCTTGGTTGGGAACATTTGTCTCAAGTTGTTTTATACAAACATTAATTGAATCCCTTATTTGGTTATTAGTGTTCTTGTTCCTGGATTGTTGCTCCAAAACGAGCGACCTCAAATGGTTATTGCTACATCGTTTTCTTCTTTTGACTTATTTACCTAGCCACCTTAAACCAGTCAAAAGTGATATATCCGACAGTCAAAGGCATCTATTTAAAGTGAATCTTAGCTGGACTAACGGTACATAACTCAACTACAAATTACTTATTGGCTGATGGTTAAGAAATATAAATACCAGGAGACTATAAGCAGATGCATATTTTACGAGTCTGCAAATATGAGAAAACGATCTAAAAGCAATTTGACATAAACTTTAGTTCAACTGTGGCGTAATATCGCTTCTTCAGAGTAACTTTACATTAAATGTACATATCATCTGTTATCCAATAGTATTCTGAAGCATAAATGCATTAGTAAAACAATTACCAGTATTATATTATATAGCAACAACCTGCGTCAAGCATTACAACTTACACTATTCACCTCTTCTAATTCATGCTGCACCCCAACATCGAATCGTTTCCAAATAGGTTTAGATGGAACAAAACGATATACAGAACTTTTATCTGAACATTTTATTTCTTCATCAGTACAATATTTATTTGTCACTGTATCTGACAAGACATTTTTAGATGATTCCGTTGAAAAATACCGTGTCTGGTTTTTGCCAATATACTGTGTGTATTGGTAATAACGACATTGTGATAATGCTTGATTAATGCGAGTATAATGTTTAAAAATCTATAAATAATACAAAAGATATTATATCCACTTTAAATGTTATTAGCATCAGTCAAATAATAAACTAAAGCGGTAAAACAATTTATGGAAAGAAAAACTAGGTCTAAGAACCATAAGATTATAAATAAAAGTGGCGATCTTTAACAGATGTAATGAAACATGTTTCCTTTACTTACTATGAATTGAATAAACATCAAATAATAATGCTTTGCTATACATCTTTTTAAGAATCGTTCAGTATCTCGCATTCGATAATCTCAAGAATTATTGTTCCAATTCGTAGATACATAAAAGCGTTGAAGCTCTCAATATCAGTATAGGGTTGTGGAGATTATTAAGTTTTTGATTGAGATCATGAACCGATTAATGTTGGACCACTATTGAAAACCTGGAAGCACTGAACGGTCGTTTCGCCCTATTGTGGGACTCCTTAGTGGTGCGCACCCGCGATCCCGCTTGCAGGATTCGAAACCAATGGAACTAATCCGTGTCGAATAGAGACAGGTATCTACCTCAGTACAATGGGAGATGGTCATGCAATTTCACGGATTGGTTGAGGCTAGACATTAACACCATGGGATGCTGGCTCAGTGGTCTAGAGGTTAGGTGTCTATGTGCGAGACTCAAGGCCCTGGATCCGAATCCTGCGAGCGGGATTGTGGATGCGCACTGCTGAGGAGTCCCACAATAGGGCGAAACCGCCGTCAAGTGCTTCCAGGTTCTCAACGGTGGTCTAGCACCAGTCGGTTTACGAATTCGAAACTCAATGATCGGAATATATGTAGTACAATTTTATGCCATAATAGGTTCTTATTTACGAAATTTTTTCTTGATCCCTATTCCAAACTGAAAAAAGTTCACTGAAAATTATGAAGCCAGTCAATTAAACTGTTATAAATTGGATGGGCTGTATCAAGTGAATGTACACAATGGTCTGATTGTTTACTCAGGGAACCAGGTAACAAAAATATGGTTACACTGGCTACAAATACAGACTTGAATAGAATCATTTACAACATAAAATTCAAGAATTATCATAGGATGGTTGTGGAGATTTCATTGAAGTCATAAATGTATTCCATTAGATCCCAACCTAATGTTTTGGAAGTTAAGCGATTATTTAGAGGTTCAGAAGTCCTGATTTCGATCTATGATAGATTCATGGATGTGTAATCTTTCTCTCGCTAACAAGTTACAGTTTAGATTGTTTGATTGCATCACATACAGTAACAGGTGTATCTTAAGCAAAATAGCTACTTATTCCGCTTTAGAAGGACTTGACGTTAGAGTATGTGGTTTCACATAAAAATAACACATTAACAATAATCACTAAATTAAACAGAATACTTGGTCAAAATATCAACACAAAACTAGATAATTTACTCAATGCTATTCTGATATGAACTTATTCAATGAAATAGTTAAGGTGAAATAAAACGCATCAATCAGATACAACTCCAAATATATCTTCTTTATTATTTATAAAACAAAATACATGATCTACTTAGATTGGAATGTAAAAATTATTTGAGAAAATCAATAATGTATCACAAAAGTCATACTAACCATTATACATGATAAGAATGCATTCTTCATATAATTACAAGAATTAATAGCATTAGTGAAATTTGAAAAAAATTACCATAATTTGTGACAAAGTTTTAGGGAGTTTTTTCTGGTTAGCGAGTTAGTTTTCTACGGGATGGGGTAGCTAACCCTATGCCCAACCCTCCTCTTTTATTCGGGCTTAGAAACCGGCAGTAGCCCTAGAGGGGCTCCAGACGGAGTTAAAGAGACAGACAATCATTTTACTATACTGTCCCATGGTATGTTTAATAGAAAATGGTTAGGGTTTCATCATAACGAGAAATAATGAGAATATATTCCAACTCTAAATAGAATAGATTCTAATTATGAGTTTATTTTGAGATTAACTGTTGAGTGGATGGGAGAAAATATTATAACACTCCCATTGGATTTTTACTATACGATTAGAATTCAGGCAGAAGAATAAACTGACTACTATTTGGAGATTAGGTTAATCAGAGATTGATACCAAAAAAAAACTTGTCACTCATCGATTAAATTAAAACATTAACGATGAACCATATTGTGGACTATTGTTATTATTACAATTACCATCCTCAAAAATGGCAAAGTAGGGTCAGTATTCCCACAACTGGAGAACATATGGAACTCAAAACAACTTTCAACCAATATCAAAGTCAGAATCCTCAATGCGAAAGTCAAGACAGTCCTACTGTAGGGAGCTGAAACTTGGAGAACTACTACAACCATCATCAAAAAGGTACAAGTAGTTATAAATAGTTGTCTACGCAAGATAATCAACATCAACTGACCGTATAACATCAGCAACAACCTAGTGTGGGAGAGAACAAACCAGCTTCCAGCTGAAGAGGAAATTAAGAAAAGATGTTGGAAGTGGATAGGACATACATTACGGAAATCATTAAACTGCATCACGAGGCAAGCCCCAACCTGGAATTCTGAAGGGAAGTGGAAAAGAGGAAGGCCAAAGAACACATTACGTTGGGAGATAGAATCAGATATGGAAAGGATGAATAACAACTGGAAAGGGTTGCCCAGGACAGGATTGGATGGAGAGTGTTGGTGGGCGGCCTATGCTCTTCCACGAGGAGTAGCAGGCATAAGTAAGTAAGTACAGTAGAATAGATGTTATAGGTACTAGCAATCACCATGAAGATAAAAGATATTATGTAACGGAAATGAAATTAATTAGAGGTTGGGTAATCTTTCAACATGACAAAATATACAAATATATAAACATCAATATGATTATAAGAAAATGAAATAAAAAGTTGGGGACAGTCACAAAAATATCAAAAATTAGAATTAATAGACTATTGGATAAACCCCTAATCACCGTGTCAGGGAAAGGCCAACCACACTTTCTTTCTGTATAAATAGATCACATCGTGAACGCCTGATAGCGATTGCCTCTGTCAAACGGAGTAAAACTAATGTTTTTTGTCTGTTAATTATTTTAAATGTTTTACTTACATCTACCTCAAGTCCACTATCCAAAACGTGGCTAGCAATCGCACTTATAAAAACTTTACTCCCTTCCAATCGTAGATTTCTAGGAATGTGTTCAGAAAACTTTGTGTGAACTCTCTATATCTATGGAAACTACTTTTTTATTTATGTGTGGAGGCCCTTGCTATCTCAGGTATATGTGAATTCATAGATGCTATTAGTTTTAAGTTTTCTATAGCTGATGAGAAAGCGTGAAATAGACTGATGAATTGATTTTATTCTCTGGTTTATTACTGTTGCTCCGTTTAAATTTATATTGATTGAAATTAGCCGATTGATGTCGGACCACCATTGAAAACCTGGAAGCACTGGACGGCCATTTCGTCCTACTGTGGGACTCCTCAGCAATGCGCGTCCACGATCCCGCTAGCGGGATTCGGACCCGGAGCCTTCAGTCTCGCGCGGAAACGCTTAACCTACTAGAGCTGGCATCCAGCGATGTTGATGTCCAACCTCAACCAATCCACGAGATTGGGCCCTAGGCCCTGGGTTCGAATCCCGCGAGCGGGATTGTGGCTGGGCACTGCTGAGGAGTCCCATACTAAGACGAAACGGCAGCCCAGTGCTTCCAGGTTTCCAATAGTGGTCTAACATCAATCGGTTTATGATCTCAATCAATAACCTAATAATCTCCACAACCCTATACTGATAAATTTATATTATCATCCTCATACACATACATACAATCATATAAATTAAGATAAAATAATAGAAAAATTAATCAACTTATAATATTTTAATTAATAAGTCTGAAGCAATTTATCTAGCAAATACAATAAAATAAATACACATTATTTGTGCATTGTTTACATAACAGCATAAACATAAAATAACACCGTATAAAAGAAAAAATCCCCCGAAAAATTGAACTAAATAAACAATGTACGGTTAGATTGTTTTCGTTTTTTGGGGTAAACAAATACTCAACCGAGACCCCCCACCACCATTTTTTTATCATTTCATATTCATTATCATTACATTCAGTGTTATAAATCATTGTTTAGTAACACAATTGTATATAATTACAACATAAAAGTAGTAATATTAGTTACTTATAAAAAAGGAAGAGAAAGAGAGAAAAACAAAATAAAACAACTAGTAATAAACAAAAATGCATGCACAATTCATTCATGAGAATAAAAAGCTGTAATGATGATATAAAGCAGGAAAAAAAAACATTGTAGTGGTGATTAGTTGACAATAGACATTATTAACACAGCTGTGTAATTAAGTCTTCCTGTCATGAAGTTTATGTTTCAAATAATAATATTAACCATAAGGCACAAAGAGAATTGTATATTTGTGTTATATTATTTCGGTATAAAAGGTATATATAACAAGCGCTTAGAGATATACATCATATATTAGGACCGCTTAGATATATGCGTATAAAATATGCAAAAATGAAGAGAGAGAGAGAGAGAGAGGAAAAAACAGGGGAGATTATAACTTTTATTTATCATCAAATGAAAGAATTATTCCACATTTGCTGATATCCTCTCTTTCTTGTCAATGTTTGATCAATATCCGTTTTCTTCAAAAGTTGGATTTAAAACATTAGTTGTTGGTGATTCGAAAATAGGATTTTCAGCCATTTCCCAACGCATATTTTCACCTTGTTGTTTAAAATTGGCCAATTCACGACGATCATCAATTGTAATGACTAGTTTATAAATTAATAAAAGTATTAATCCACCAAGTACAATAGCTGCAATGACACCGAGAACAATGTAAAGAATATTGATTGTTTTTGTACATTCACTTTTTCGGATAATATTTAAATCAACCTATTTTTAGACAACAACAAAAAATGAAAATGATTTTTTAATACGATATACATTTTACAAGGTATTATGACTTACTTAGATATAGGTGGTTAATGGAGATTTGTTCATTTTGAAGAAGGTTCTCTTATGATAGACGAAGCCACATACACATATACTAACTGAAGAACCGTTAAAAAAACTAGAACAGAACCGGATCAACTTAAGGTATTTTGCTTTTAAGACGATGAATACACAATATGTCTCGTTACAACATAGGTTGATACACGATACCAGTTAAAATAGTGCATTGAAAAACGTCTTAGGATCTTCAGATTAAGATATGGACCTATAATGGAAAACCACATCGTATTGTGTGAGACTTTTTTGGTTGTGTGCTGTGTGTAAATTAAACCAGCTTATGTTTATGTAGTACCATAATTTATCTTAATAGAGGTAATCGCTTACAGTTCCCAATGAGATCTTAGTTAACATATCTAGCCCAAAAATAAGTTGATGGAAGTTAATAATTTTTTCATGAGCGCAAAAAAGCTGTTACGGTCTACAACGTGACATCGAATATAAGCTGATTATTGTTTGTAGCATAATTCTACGTCCGTTATCTCTGCATATATATGTCGAAACAGACTGGTAAATTGTAGTTTTTAACATCAATAGGATGATAAAAAATTACAAACAATACACTTAAAACGACTATGTAATAAACAGTTTTGGTTAGATTAAATAAATATATACATAGGTTTGTAGTAAATTTTCATAATGACTAAAATCAGTTAATTGTAAACAATAGGATTGAATATGTTCTTTATTCAAAAAGCTCAATCAATACACATTTTTATTTATCTTATATGAACACATAAACATTGGTACAAAATATATATGCACCATACTAGTTACTTGATTTGTGTGTGGGCTGTGATACTACCCGGGTGCCCAAACCGAAGCACGTAGTTTTCTTAGGAAGCCACACCTGGAGCTTTTGATCTAAAGGTACAATCAACAAGTCATACGAGCAATCTAAGG